CATGCGGGAACCCCCTCCCTATGGGGCCTGCATTTCATGTTTTCAATCCGAGCGGGTCATCCTCATCCTTGTAAGTGTTGTCACTTTGTGGCTCCCGAGGCCTGATTGTGGAGGAAGTATCAGGCGGGGAACTTCGTCTGTGAGTGAACTTTGAGGCAGTCTCAGGCGGGAGCCCCCTCCCTGTGTGGCCCGCTCTTCATGTTTTCAATCCGAGAGGGTCATCCTCATCCTTGTAACTGTCGTCACTTTGGGGCTCCCGAGGCCTGAATATGGAGGATGTAGCAGGCGGGGAACCTAGTCTGTGAGTGAATGGTCAGGAAGTCTCAGGCGGGAGCCCCCTGCCCATGGGCCCCGCTTTTCATGTTTTCAATCCGAGCGGGTCATCCTCATCCTTGTAATTGTAGTCATTTTGGGGCTCCCGAGGCTTGAATATGGAGGAAGTATCAGGCGGGGAGCCTCGTCTGTGAGTGAATTGTGAGGAAGTCTCAGGCGGGAACCCCTTCCTGTGCGCTCTTCAGAGGGCGATTCGCCTGACCCATCAGGTGAGGAGGAAGAGGAGGAACAGGAGGTGAGGACGACGACGGCGGCTGGGCGCAGGGGGAAGCCCTTGCGTCCGGGCCGGGGGTGGTAACCCATCCTCAGTCGAAGCGGGGGCAGGGGGAAACCCTTCTCTCTGGGCTGGCGGTGGTAACCCATCGTCAGCCGAAGTGGGGGTAGGGGGAAACCCTTGTCTCCTGGCGGTGGTAAACCATCGTCAGCCGAATCGGGCGCAGGGGGGAACCTTTGCTCTTCCGGGCCAGTAACCCATCCTCGGCCGAATCGGGGAACCCAGGTCTCCAGGCTGGCGGTGGTAACCCATCGTCAGCCGAATCGGGCGCAGGGGGAAGCCCTTGCGTCCGGGCTGGCGTGGTTGCCCCAACGGCCTGGCCAGCGGGGTTCCCCAACGGCCGCGCGACGCGACCATTCGAGAATGCGCCCGCGCTTGCCGAGGCGGCGACGGCGTCGAGGAAAATCGACGCGCGCGCTCTTGCAATAGACAGGAGAAGAGGTGGTGGGTGATGAAACAGTAGGAGGGCGAGGCAAGGGCAACGCGGGGAGCGGGTGAGGGCACTGCGCCAGGGCGAGAATGAGAATGCCGCAGAGGAGACAATTCGGGCGCCTCGCTAATCGCGAGGACGACAGTGAAAAAGGTTATTCCCCACATGCTTCGTGGGGTTCTGGTTTTCTTCCGTGCCGCGCCGCACCCGCGACACTCCCACACACACCTCACTCTTCCTCTCCTCCTCGCAGCACTGCTCAGCACATCTCAGCTCAGCTCAGCTCAGCTCAGCACGGCGCAGCTCAGCACAGCACAGCTCAGCTCATCTCAGCACAGCACAGCGCAGCACAGCACAGCACAGCACAGCTCAGTCCAGCTCAGCACAGCACAGCTCAGCTTAGGGGGTGCGCAGGGGGTGGTCCCTCACCGCGGCCGCACGCAGGAATGCAGGGTGCGGCAGGCGTGGCAACGTCTCCATAACAGAGGCGGTGCGCTGGTGGTGCGGTCTCTATGCGTTGCAGGCGCGCAGGGCACGGCAGGCGCGGCATTTTCTCGACACCAGGAGGGTGCGCAGAGGGTGCGGTCTCTATGCGTTGCAGGCGCGCAGGGCACGGCAGGCGTGGCACTCTCTCGACACCAGAGGGATGCACATGGGGTGCGGTCTCTATGCGTTGCAGGCGCGCAGGGCACGGCAGGCGCGGAACTTTCTCGGCAGGCGTGGGAATTCTCGACACCAGAGGGGGTGCGCAGGGGGTGCGGTCTCTATGCGTTGCAGGCGCGCAGGGCACGGCAGGCGCGGCATTTTCTCGACACCAGGAGGGTGCGCAGGGGGTGCGGTCTCTATGCGCTGCAGGCGCGCAGGGCACGGCAGGCGTGGGAATTCTCGACACCAGAGGGGGTGCACAGGGGGTGCGGTCTCTATGCGTTGCAGGCGCGCAGGGCACGGCAGGCGCGGCATTTTCTCGACACCAGGAGGGTGCGCAGGGGGTGCGGTCTCTATGCGTTGCAGGCGCGCAGGGCGCGGCAGGCGTGGGAATTCTCGACACCAGAGGGGGTGAACAGGGGGTGCGGTCTCTATGCGTTGCAGGCGCGCAGGGCACGGCAGGCGCGGCATTTTCTCGACACCAGGAGGGTGCGCAGGGGGTGTGGTCTCTAGGCGCTGCATGTGCGCAGGGCATGGCAGGCGTGGGAATTCTCGACGCCAAAGGGGTGCATATGGGGTGCGGTCTCTATGCGTTGCAGGCGCGCAGGGCGCGGCAGGCGTGGGAATTCTCGACACCAGAGGGGGTGCACATCGGGTGCGGTTTCTATGCGTTGCAGGCGCGCAGGGCACGGCAAGCGCGGCATTTTCTCGACACCAGGAGGGTGCGCAGGGGGTGCGGTCTCTATGCGTTGCAGGTGCGCAGGGCATGGCAGGCGTGGGGATTCTCGACACCAGAAGGGGGTGCACAGGGGGTGCGGTCTCTATGCGCTGCAGGCGCGCGGGGCACGGCAGGGGCGGCACTTTCTCAAGACCAGGAGGGTGCGCATCGGGTGCGGTCTCTATGCGTTGCAGGCGCGCAGGGCGCGGCAGGCGCTGCATTTTCTCGACACCAGGAGGGTGCGCAGGTGGTGCGGTCTCTATGCGTTGCAGGCGCGCAGGGCGCGGCAGGCGTGGGAATTCTCAACACCAGAGGGGGTGAACAGGGTGTGCGGTCTCTATGCGTTGCAGGCGCGCAGAGCGCGGCAGGCGCGGCATTTTCTCGACACCAGGAGGGTGCGCAGGGGGTGCGGTCTCTATGCGTTGCAGGCGCGCAGGGCGCGGCAGGCGTGGGAATTCTCGACACCAAAGGGGGTGAACAGGGCGTGCGGTCTCTATGCGTTGCAGGCGCGCAGGGCACTGCAGGCATGGCATTTTCTCGACACCAGGAGGGTGCGCAGGGGGTGCGGTCTCTATGCGTTGCAGGCGCGCAGGGCGCGGCAGGCGTGGGCATTCTCGACACCAGGCGGGGTGCACATCGGGTGCGGTCTCTATGCGTTGCAGGCGCGCAGGGCACGGCAGGCGTGGCATTTTCTCGACACCAGAAGGGGGTGCACATGGGGTGCGGTCTCTATGCGTTGCAGGCGCGGGCACGGCAGGCGCGGCATTTTCTCGACACCAGGCGGGGTGCGCAGGGGGTGCGGTCTCTATGCGTTGCAGGCGCGCAGGGCGCGGCAGGCGTGGGAATTCTCGACACCAGAGGGGGTGCGCATCGGGTGCGGTCTCTTTGCGTTGCAGGCGCGCAAGGCACGGCAGGCGCGGCATTTTCTCGACACCAGGAGGGTGCGCAAGGGGTGCGGTCTCTGTGCGTTGCAGGCGCGCAGGAGGCGTGCAGGACGCGGCAGGCGTGGGAATTCTCGACACCAGAGGGGGTGAACAGGGGGTGCGGTCTCTATGCGCTGCAGGCGCGCAGGGCACGGCAGGCGCGGCATTTTCTCGACATCAGGAGGGTGCGCAGGGGGTGCGGTCTCTATGCGTTGCAGGCGCGCAGGGCGCGGCAGGCGTGGGAATTCTCGACACCAGAGGGGGTGCACAGGGGGTGCGGCCTCTATGCGTTTCAGGCGTGCAGGGCGCGGCAGGCGTTGTAAAATCTCGATCACAGGGGGGGGGTGCGCGTGTGGTGCGGTCTCTATCCGTTGCAGGCTCGCACGGCGCAGCAGGCGTGTCATTTTCTCGACATCAGAGGGGGCGCGCAGGGAACGGCCACCAACATCATTCTCACATGCTTCTTTTCAGCTATCATCACTCCAGCCATAATATAAGTATGTGGGGTTCCTCGGTAGCGTAATTTCCACACTCGCCGAAAGGATTTTCATGTGGGGTCTTTCCGTCGGAGTAATTATTTGGGGTCCCTCTTGGGGCCCATTGGGGGCGTCTTCGCGGCCTCCTGGGAGCCGCGTGGGGCCTTTCGTGGGCGACTCGGGACTTCTGAATGGGTCGAAATACTGGGGCACTTGTGGGGCTGGATTTGGCCGTTTTGAGGGCCCCACCAAGGGCCGAATTCGGGCCTGGGGCGTCTCGGGGGCTTGTTTGGGCTTTATGGGGTGTCATTGGGCGATGTTTTGGGGTTACTGGGGTTGTCTTGGGCGAGTTAGCTAAAAAACGTGCGTTCCCCCATGGGAACAGGAGTATTATCGCCTTTTGGGGCCCTTTCGGCGGTCCTGTGGGAGCAGTCTTAGATCGTGCTGGAGGCCTCGCGGGCCCTTTGAAAGCCCTTCTCGATTGTCGTGGAGCTACCTAGGGCCATCCCTACTCTCTCTTGGACTGTCTTGGTGCGCTGGTTGGGCACTCTTGGGCCGATTCGGGGCCCTCAGGGGCCGTCGTGGGGCCGTACAAGGAGATTGGGGACGGCCAGGCCGCCCTGGTGAGTTCACCCTGGGGGTTGTCTGGGGTCGTCCGGGGGTCGTCGGGGGTCGTCCCGGGCCGGGGGGGTCGAGTGCGCAGTTTGTGGTCCCAAGGGGGGGAAAGGACTGAGAGGGGGGCGGGGCGGGCTGGCGGGGAAGCTGGCGGGCGAGGCGGGGAGAGGTTGTTTGGGGTGGGGGGTGGGAGGAGGTGTGAGGGTGACGGGATGCGCACGGAGGAGAGAGGAGTCCGCCGACCCCCGCTCGCCGGGGTCGAACGCGTGTGGGGACACAGGGAGGGGAACATCTCTCACGCCTGGAGACCCACAAGGGGTCGGCGGACTCCGTCCCTGCGCGTGTCCAGCAGCATGCGCTCTATCGGATGTTTGACAGGGCACTCGGGTAATGGCCAAGTGCTGTGATGCAGGCGCGTTGACATCCAGCGCGAAGGAATGTATCCCAACTCCAGGTGTGACAGGAACAGGCAACTGGGTGACCTCGAGCTCCGCCTCTTTCGACCCCTCCAGGTTTTTACTTCCTTTCCGTCCGCTCTTTCCCGTTCGTCCTCTCTGATCGAGCTCTCCGGTATTGTTGCGGTGAGGAGATGTTTGCCGCGGCGATGGCGGCGATGGGCATCACGCCTACGACGCGGGTCCTCCGACCAGTGCCCACCTGGCTGTGGGGAAGGATGTGTGCTGTGTCTCTCCTCTGTGGTGTCCTGCCGGCGACCTGCGTACTTGTAGCGTGCGAGCAGGACAAACGACAGCTGGTGCGGATACTCGTCAGTAGAGGACGACAAGAGGGCAGCGGAACACAGACGTCGGGGGAGAGGCAGACGATATCAGGAAGGATACGGAGGGAGGGAGGGCAAAATAATCAGGCGGGGTAGCCAGTAATGGTGTTATATTTATATATACATATGTAGAGAGAGAGAGAGAGAGAGAGAGAGAGAGAGATAGAGAGAAATACAGAGAGAGAGAGAGAGAGAGGGAGAGAGAGAGAGAGAAAAAAAGAAAGAGAGAGAGAGAGATAGTGAGAGCGAGAGAGAGAGAGAGAGAGACCGAGAGAGAGAGAGCGAGAGAGAGACCGAGAGGTAGTAGTAATGCTGTTAGTCATGATACTAATGTGAATAGTGATAATGAGAGTGATGACGATACTGATGCAAATCATACATCCCCAGGCCATTGAGAACACCGATGGATCCAATTTGATTTTTTTTTGTGGGGTGTGCGGCCTTGTCGTGGATCCTAGTTGTGTCTTGCGCGGATCCAATTTCCCGTGTGTGAAAAACCACTACTTCCATTATTATCGGAGAATGCACATATTCAAAAACAGTTAACATCCCAGACCCAGGGGAAATGGGATCCGCAGGGCACCGCACGTGAAACATCATGCTATCCATGGAGCTGTGGATCTGCTGACCAAAGCTATGACTCTACGGGGGAAGGGGCAGTCTCCCTAGGACGGAGAGGGGAACCAGGAGGGAGGAGGCACGAAACCAAAGAGATCGCTACATGTGTCCGCTCACCTGAGCGGCACGTCGCTTCCGACATTTGGGGCTCCAGAGGAAACTCTTTCGGCCTGCGTAAGTATGAATGATAAACCATTGTCTGTAGTATTCGTATTCGTAGTACGGTTCGTATGTATACCAACATGTTGGCGAATCTGTGTTTTGTAATCGTAGTAGTAATAATAGCAGCAGCATTCAAATACTATTGGTGATGCTAGATTTATGGAATATCAGAGTTCTGGTGCTATTAATAACACGAGTAACAATAACACCAGTAGCACCAACACTAACAACACCAGTAATAACAGTAACACGAATAACAGTAATAGCAGTAACGCTACTCATAATACGCATCATACGAATACCAGTATTACGAATCCTTTTTCTATGGCTACTAAAGCGAATAATGATACTAGTCATAGCCATAATCGTATCAACAATGATACCAGTCATCATATTCGGACTACAGAAATAGACATTCATAAAAGGGGATAAATAAAGAAAGAGAGAGAGAGAGAGAGAGAGAGAGAGAGAGAGCACGAGAGCAGGACAGTGGATGGGACACGCCTGCTTCCCCTGCTGCTGTCTCAGGGGCTGCGCGGATTCGGAGGCAGGGTTCGTGGCCTCTGGCGCGGGCGCGCTCCCTTGGACCGCCCCCCCTACGCTGGAGCCCTTTCATCCTGCGGGGCCCACTGGAGGACGTCCCCAGCGCCGAGCCTCGCGTGGGCGCCACTCCTGGTGGGTCCGCGCGGCAGTGGCCAGACAGAATCGAGCACCCTGCCTCTTACGCAGGCCGTCGAAGGCCGGGCCGCGGCCATCAGCCGCGGCCCCCCGAGAGCCAGCTGCACGCAGGAGTAACCCCTCGCTGGGGGGGGCTTTGGTGCGCGGCTTCGGGGGGCCGCGGGTGGCCAAGCCAAAGCACGCGGGTGATGATGATGATGCTGATGATGATGAGGATGAGGATGAGGAGGAGGAGGAGGAGGAGGAGGAGGAGGAGAGGAGGGAGGAGGAGGAGGAGGAGGAGGAGGATGAGGAGGAGGAGGGGAAGAGGATGAGGAGGAGGAGGAGAAGGAGGAGGAAGACGAGGAGAAGGAGGAAGGGGAGGAGGGGGGAGGAGAATAATGACGAGGAGCAGGAGGAGGAATGCATACTGCGGGCGAAGGAAGAGAACGGACGAATAGAGGGATAGTAAGAAGAGGTGAAGTTTTGGATCAGGAGATGTTCAATCAGGAACCCAGGGCCTCGCCACCAATAGGTGACCTGTTGTGGGCTACATCGCCCAGTTCACCTCGCAACGAAGGAATCCACCGAGGTCTGGCCTTCCAGATGACGTTCCCTATTCAATGCCGCCGGCGTAGGGCGAAACTGGGATCGGACAGGAAAGAACTGCGCGAATCGCAATGAAAATCAATTGGTGCTGGGGGGGCTGCGCTATATGGACATACATACATATATTTAATATATTTATATATATATATATGTATATATACACACATAGATGTATCCCTCGAAACCCAAAAGAAACTGCGTATCTCTCCATATAGTGTCGTAAATCGGCCTGTGGGGCCCAGGCTACCCCCATGGGGAAAGGAGTCGGTTAGATGACGCTCATCTCCAACCGGGCTGGCCTTTTCGTCGGCCCGCGCGGTGGTAGCGAGGCAGTTTGCGCGAGTGGCGGGGAGAGGGTCTCTCTGGCGCAAAGGGTACGTGGTCGCCGATGAGCCTTCGGTGGGCCTGGCCGCGGGGCGCCTCGTTTTGGACAGGAAGTCACAGAAAAGCCCCCCGCTCGTCTTGCATTCCGCCCGTCGTAAATCTCACGAAGAAGCATGGAATTCGCGTGGGCTCCAGATTTCGCAGACGGAAGCCATGAATCTGGACTGGACCCTGGGCGGTTTCTTGGGTTTTTGTTCGTGCAGTTTTCGTATGTCTGGACCTGGAGTGCGGTTTAAGAAATCGCTTGGAGTGACGTTCGCTTCCCCTGCGCAAGAAAATCTGAACTCTAAGCAGGAGTGTAAGTCACAGAAGCTTCAGCTCGTCTTGCATTGCTGCCGCATCGGAAGCTAACCATCGGCAGGCCACGCACCAGAGGTCGCCTTTGCCTGGGGTCACCCCAGCGCGCTTCGCCGGCCTGTCAGCCATAGGAGTCCCAAGTGTCTTCTGCCCTGTCGCCTCGTCGTTCATTCCCCCCTCTGTGCTCGTGTCCTCGTCGTCGTCGTCGTCGTTGTCGTCGTCGCCGTCGCCGTCGCCGTCGTCTCCGTCGTCGTCGTCGTCGTCGTCGTCCTCCTCCTCCTCCTCCTCCTCCTCCTCCTTCTCTTCCGAATCTTGCGTGTAGCCCACTGCCGCTGCTGGTGGGCCTTCGGTCGACCAGGCCGCGGGGCGCGCCTCCTGGACAGAAAGTCGCGGAAGCTTCCTGGCCCAGGATGCGGGCGACAGCATTCACGGATCACATTTCGCGACACTGCTTTCCCATCTTCTGCCTCCGCTACCTCTTTCGGCTCTGTAATTTGCTTGCCTCATTTTTCACTTTCGGCGTCCCGCGCTGCACAGAGTGACGAGTGGCTTTTCGATTTAGTGATTGCGCCCTCTTCCTTCGTCCTCCCCGCTTTCTTCAAAATCGCCTTGGAAGGATTGTAAGTCACGGAAGCTTCCGCTCGTCTTGCACTGAATCTTGTTCAGTGCAAGGCGAGCGGGGCCAGCTCGGGCCCGACGCTCCCGTCTTCCTGTTCATGCGCTGTGGCAGGGGGGCAGGGCGCTCCCGGAAGGCTTGCGGGGCCTCTGCATCGTCGGACCAGACCGTCCTGCACGAAAGCCGCACGCTGCTGCTGAGGCACCGCTATGTGTCGTCAGCGGCCGTGCGGGTCAGCCGCGGGCGATCTCCACCCAGCGGAGACCGATCGAGCCTGAACCGGAGGTTTTCGGGACACCCCACCGCTAGCGAAACACACATTGAGGCCTACGTAAGCCCACATCGATCGCCAGGCGCGAGACGCAAGGCTCCTTGCATCTAGTGGAATGCCGCCGCTTACGTTGGCCAGGTCCTCCTCTCGGCCCGCCCAGCGGGGTCAGGAAAGTCGCAATTTCCTTCCGCCCAAGATTCCCCAGTGCACCAAACTTACGGTCAGCACTTTGAACCCAAAAGGCATTGAGAAACTGAGCAAACGCGACGTTATCGACAATTTGATGCGCCGCTGGAGCGTTGACACTGTTTTTCTTCCAGAGTCTCACGCCTCCCACAACAGTAGGGAAGTCCGCAGGGACACACTATGAAACCACAGCTCTACGAAGCAGCTGGCGGGCCCGCAACGGCACGGCATCTGTCTATAGTCTTGCGCAAACGTCTTGCGAACAGTATCTTAGACATTCAACCCATGAGTACATCATTCTCGTCAAGCTTCGTTTTGAGGGCCACCCTTTCGCCTTCATAGGGCCTATACGCGCCCACGGCCGAAGCGAGTCAGGAAAGTAAAGTGCTTTCTGGTCACTGGTGCAACAGACCCATAAACGAGTGAAGCACAGCTGCATCACTTACTTTATCGGGGACTTGAACGCACGGGTGCAGATGAACTCTAGGGACGACCTGGTGCACTTTTGACTGAGAACGCACCTCTCTCGAATCACACACCCCGGAGGTCATGGACAACCGAGAATCTCTTTAAAATTTATGCGGACAGCACCGTCTTCAGCTCAGCAACATATTCTTCTCGAAACCAAAGCGTAAGCTTTGCACGTAACTCCAGCGCAAAGACCAGGAGGTCGAACCGCCGTGGTACCGACTTAAGTGTGGTCTTCGGGCAGTGGACTTGACGTGGAGAAAGACATCAACGCCCGCATCCAGAACTGCGATCAAACGCTGCAGCGAGTTATGTATACGTGTACGTGTATGCCTGTGTTTATATGTGTGTGAATATATATATATATATATATATATATATATGCGAATCGCGCCCGACAGCGCTTTAACAGCGCCCAAGTAGCACCCAATAGCTCCCAGTAGCGCCCAACAGCGCCCCAAGGCACCCAATGACGTCACTTGAGGGAGATGCATTGCGTTCGCTTTGCGCGCCATCGGGCGCTACTGGACGCGCTATTGGGCGCCATGGGGACGACTAAAAGATTCTGTGAGTTGCTCTCTAACCTCTTCGCGGTGACCAGCCTGCGCGGTTCAGTGTGGGCGCGGCGCGGGGGCGGACGCGCAGGAGGGGGGAGGAGGGGATGGAGCCTTCTTTGGCTTGCCCGTCATCCCCTGAGGCGATGTCATTCCCAACCTTCCGACCCTGACCCCGCCTCTTCGCGCCATGCCCCGGCTTGGGTTGCCGTTTCCTTCTTGTCGGCCAGCTCCGCTGGCGCCAGCAGGTCGTGGTGTACGACCGGCACGGGGTCTTCTCGTCTCCACGCTTCTGGTGGGGTGGGCAGTGCTCGGCGAGCGCTGGGGAGGTGAGCGGACGAGGATACTTGGTCGGGGCTGAGCAGCAGCGACGAGCTGGGCCTATTTTTGAGGGGGCTACTTTCGGACGTGTTTGTGGGGTGGGTTGGAGGTTGGCTTGGGAGGCGCTGTTGTGAGGGTTCGTAAGCTGAAGTGCCATTTTGGTTCCGTGAGCCGCACGGATGCGAGGTCTCTATTGCGATGAGAAGCCTTGGCATTTGGTGCGATCTCTGGGGATCGTAATTGAAGCCAGCCAGAGCCGTGCTGCCATTCCGAGAGTCTGGAAATGTTGCCTTCGAAGGTGCCATGCCTATTCAAATTATGTTTAGACTCTTGTGAGATCAGGACAAATTGGCTGGGGTCCTGTGACCTGGACCGATGACGTGGGATGGATGAAAGGTGGAGCAGGAGTGCAAGGGGGCAATCATATGGAGGAGATGAAGGGGGTGAGGAGATTCAATTTGACATGCGCAATGCAATGCTATCCAGATGCGCTGCCGCGCGATTCCGCCCCCCGCCCTCGGGCGGCCGCCTGGGGGGGAGGCGTCCTTCGGGGCCTCTTAGGGGGCCTTTTGGGGGCCTCTCGGGGTCTCTTGGGGGCTTCTTGGGCCCTCAAATAGCGTCCTTGGCCAGTAAGACCTCACCCGTCTCGTCGCCACACGAGGAGCTCCACCGGCGGCCCAAGAGGTAGGGCCCGCGTGGCGTTCCCCCGCCCATCCCAGGCCCCCCGCCCTGGCCCACCTCGACACACCCCTTACCCGTTTCGTGGCCGCACGGGGAGCTCCACCGAAGGCCCTACTGGCAAGGCCTGCTTGGCGTCCCTACGCTCGTTACAGCATACCCCTCACACGCATCGTGGCCCCATGGGGAATTCCGCCGAAGGCCCTGGTGGCAGGACCCGCATGGCGTTCTCCCGCCTTTCTCGGCATACCCCTTACACGCTTTGCGGCCCTACAGGCCATAGGAGCTCCACCGAAGGTCCCACTGGCAGGGTCCACATGGCGTCCTCCATACATGTCGGCACACCCGTCGCACGTTTCGTGGCCCCACTGGGAGCTCCACCGAAGGCCTCACTAGCCGGGCCCGCATGGCATCCCCCCGCCAATGTCGGAACACCCCTTACACGCACCGATGCCCCATGTGGAACTCCGCTGGAGGCCCTGGTGGCAGGGCCCGCAAGGATCTCCCCCGCCCGTTTCGGCACACCCCTCACACGCTTCGTGGCCCCAAACTCCTCCGAAGGCACCAGTGGCCTGGTCTGCATGCCGCTCCGCCGCCCATGTCGGCTCACCGCTCACATGTGTCATGCCCCCCATCCGCGCTGCCCAGGCCCCATCCCTGTCGTGGCGCGCAATTTTTGAGGAGAAGGTCATATCCTGCGTTGCTCACAGCTGCATAGGGGTGGTTCCTTCCCAGGCCACTGATAAAGCGAAGAGCTGGCACGGTGGAGTGCAGTTTCTGCCTGCGCGCACGAGCGTTGGGAAATGTCCAGGGCCAAGTGTCGAGGTGATCCCTGCCAGGACGAGACAGACAGACCCCCGACTTCGTGATTTTGTCATAACCCTGACCCTTAGAGGTCTCGACCTATTCCCCGGGACTGTTTTTTGTTGATCTTGAGTTGTTTTTTGACGGTCCCAGGGCCGGGCAAAGGCCCCTTAAGGCCGAATATTGCGGGCCTTTCAGGTCCCCTGACACCTTCCGTCGCGATTGTTTCATAACTCGAGGGGTCTGGGCTCTTCTCCAAAAGAGGGAGTGGGCCGCCCTCAGGTGGACGCTGAAGCTCGCCTTCGGGCACCCGGCAGGCGTCGCCGTCCTCGACGGGGGCCTCCCGCGCTGGAAGGAGCCTTTGTGTCTCTGGTCGTTTAGTCTACACTCGGGGAAGAGACAATGGCATAAACAGAAAACCTGGAGATCCGTGCGGAGTTCTTGGATCGGCGCTGGGCCCCCCCCCAGCGCCAGTCCACGAAATCCGCGCGGACCTCCGAGTCTTTATGTTTATGCCATTGTCTGTTCCTCTGCACTGGCTGTGTCGTGCATGTGAGCCAAAAAGGAGGAGGAGGAGGAGGAGGAGGAGGAGGAGGAGGAGGAGGAGGAGGAGAGGAGGAGGAGGAGGAGGAGGAGGAGGAGGAGGAGGAGGAGGAGGAGGAGGAGGGGGGGACAGGAGGAGGGAGGAGGAGGAGCTGCTCCCAGGCTGCTCCGAGGCACACCCTGAAGATCTGCACGATCTGAGGGTCCTCCGGCCGTCCCGCGGCCTCCCCGGCTCCTCGCCCCTCGTCCGTCTGCGCCCATGCGCCTCCGTTGGCAACGGATGCGTCTGGCCGCTTGCTCGACCGCTTGGTGGACCCAACTCGCCGCAGACCGAACGAGTGCTCTTGCCGAGAGCGCAGGGCAAGAGGACGGCAGGGACGACGACGAACGAATGACGGCGGCGACGACTCGATCGGAGAAGTCCTCACGCACGCCGACTGGGTTTCATGGCGCCTCTTCCTATTTCATTGCGTTTCCGCCCCCCCTCCCCCCCCCCTGGGCCGCGCACATGCCGCTGGCCATGATTTGCGCCACATCCCCCCCCTCCCGGTCGAGACACCCGCTTCCGGTCGAGAGTGGTGCGCTTCGCCCCTCCCGAGACAGGCCCGCTTGCCTGGCCTCACGAACGGGGGTGGCAGGGAGCTCCTGTTCTCTGCCGTCTGGCCAGCTTCTCAAAGTTGGGTTGGATGGAGTAGAGCGGGCCGAAGGGGTTACAGCGATTGCGTGTCAGAAACGCACCTTCATCTTTCACTCACTGAGGGATGCAGATGCCACCCTGCCCTTTCGCCTGCCTTGCTGGTGCGTGCGCACCTTGAGTGCAAGCACTGCTTGGAGAATACAGATGGTGCTCTCTGAGAGGAATATGCGGAAAGAGCAGCTCCACATTTCAGAAAGCCAAGCGTCAGCACGACGTTTTTCGCGGTCACTTCTTCATACGGTATCTGATGTTAAAATTGTGCAGCAGCACACCGCGAAGTAGATGCGGCTCTACATGCTCCCAACAGGAGTGAACAAGCAAAGGGAAGTCGCCTGAGCCCAGGATCAGCAGCAGATGTCCCCAAGGGTTTGCCGAGGCGAGGCACCATTGTCCACGGGGCTTGAGCTCTTCCGTGAACGAAGTTTGGCGCACCCCGCCACGTCGTCACCAATAACGGGTACGGAACATGAGTATATTCAATGATTCTAACCCCTTCGGGCCGTGAAGATTTTTCCGACTGTGGATTCGAAGCGTTCCGCAAGACATCCCCACCCAGTGGCCGACGCGTTTCGCATCCCCGAGAATGGGGGGCCAGGGGACTGGAGCACGCAGTGTTGGAGACTTCCGAGTCTTTGCGCTGTTCAAGCTGGTTGGCGTCGCAGACTCCGTAGACGCGCTAACGGGGTGTTAGCTAACGGCGAAGTGGGACAACCAATTGTAGGAAGGCGTGGTTCGTGTTTTCCTACAACTCGCTGCGTCGTTTTCGCTCGATACATTCGCATATTTGAAATTTAGGAAACGGTGGTCGTGATTTCCTACGATTTGTTCTGCGCGAGCTCGGTGTCACAAAAGTCGGATTCCCAACATCGCCGTCAACCAACATCGCCACTTGCGCGGCCTTGAAGACTCGCCCAAGTCAGGGTTCCTCCCTGGGTTTTCCGTCACCTGGAGCTCCTGGGAGCCTTGGCGTCCAGGCTGAGGCCGGCACAGGGCCGTGTAGGAGGGCTGGAGCCTTGGCGTAAAAGGTGTGGCCGCCACTGGGCCGTCTTACGTCTCTCTGGGGGGTCTCTTCAGATGCTGCCAGACGCATGTCGCAGGCCTCTTCGGTACCTTCTGTCGTCCGTCTTGGGGGCTCTTGGGCGCCTCTGGGGTGGGCCTGGGGGCCGCTTGGGCTCTCGTGGGCGTCCGGAGCCGTCTTGCGGCCTCTCGGATGTGCTCACGGGGCCCTCTTTGGCCGTCTGGGGGCCTGGGAGCGTCTTCCGTCAGGAGTTCCGGTCGTTGGACCAACCATGACAGAAGCATAAGACCTCGGAGGTCCGCGCGGACCTTTTTGATGGTGTTTGTGTCATTGCTTGTTTCCCTATCTAGAGAGCCTTGGCGTCGATGGCGTGTCCGTCGCTGGGCCGTCTGCGGGCGGAGGCTTTGGTCTCCAGGCGGTGGTTTGGGATTGGGTCTCCTGGGGGACCTCCTGAGGGGCCTCTGCAAAAGGTGTTGGCGGTGTTTTGGGGGTCTCGTCCAGGGGCCCTCTTGGGTGTTGGAGATTTCTTGGGGGCCTCGACCGGGGTTCCTCATGCGTGGCCTCGTCAGACTCTTCAGAGGGTGTTGGAGGTTTTTGTTGGGTTCTCTTGCGTGCTTTATGGGCCGTCTTGGGGGCTAGCGGAGGCTCAGGGCCAGTCTTGAGGGCCTCTTGGTCCGTCCTGCGGCCCGTCCCGAAGCACTGGTGGTCCGTCTTGGATCTGTCTTGGACAGAGTTGGTGCGCCTCGGAGTTCGGCAGATGCGTCCGCCAGCACCATCGGGCCAGACCGGGCTCTCCCAGGTGGGGTTTGGGACTTGTGTTATTATTCAATTCTTTGGTCTGCGCGTGGTGGACCGAAGTTAGTTGAGACTTGGTGCGAGGGCCTCGCGGTGCAACCTGGCAACCTAAGTCAAGGCTTGGCCTCGTGATTTTTCTGCGAGGGACGACGCAGACGAAGGCAACATGAGCGCAAGCGGAGCAGATATCCGCTCTCCGAGAGTGTTGCCAGCGTCGGGGATCCGTAGGCGCCCCCTCTCCACGTCGGAGGCTGTACGCCTTTGGCATGCTGGTGCTCCAAGGAAGAAAAATCACCCCGACCCCCATATTGGGCGTTTACTAAGCGGCCCTGGGCATTTGCTGAACAGCCCCGTCCTGTCTGATTATTTCCTTGTATGCGTATTCTGGAAGTCTTTCGCCTGTCGGGGTGCTTATTGCCAGGGTGGTTTTCCTGCTCTCTAAGTTCGGCGGAGGCGGTGGGCGACCCACCGCGCAACGCGCTCATGCGCCCACTGCGGCCCAGGCGCTCCTCTGATGCGCGCCGCGCGGCAGCTTTGCGGTTCGCGGCTCGCGGCCGCAGAGCTCGAGGAGGCACCGCTAGCTGCTGGCTGCGATGATTGTTGGGATTTTTCTTTCCACTTTCTTTAGCCGCCGTTCAACTGTCAGGCAGGCCTCGAATCGAGCTACCTCGGTCTGGAGCGTTCCGGAGCGCTCTCAGAGCCTTCTGGAACGCTCTGAGACAGCCGTGGCGCCCGATACATCTTCAAAACCCGCCGATTCTCAGAGATTCCCGATCTGTCTCGGTCCGGCTATGTCTAGATTCAGCAATCGTCTTGAATTGGTCCGCCGCGCCAAGCGGGACGCGCGCCGCGCGCGGCAGCTCGCGCGGCTGTCGACGTTCCCCAGGGGTCCCCACGGCATTTCGAGCACAAATCTAACAACACCACCCCACGTACGGCCCTCGATGTTGCGCTACGGCCTATCGGGGGCCGCAGCGTATACCACGCGTAAACCCACGCCAGATTTGTTGGAAAACTCTGACCCCGTGGGACCGTAGGTGGTGTGGTGTTTTTGGTCCAGCATCTCTGTGGGCGCACGGGCGCGCATGGTGTTCTCCCGCTGGGGCCCTCGCATGCGCGGCGGGCAGGCCCGCAGCAATCGCAGCTGGGAAACCCGCAGCGGGCGCGATAGGAGGAGGAGGCAGGAGAGGAGGAGGAGGAGGAGGTAGTAGTGGTGGTAGTAGTAGTAGTAGTAGTAGTAGTAGTAGTAGTAGTAGTAGTAGTAGTCGTAGTAGCAGTAGTAGTCGTAGTAGTCGTAGTCGTCGTAGTAGTTATTGTTATAGTCGTCGTAGTAGTAGTAGTAGTAGTAGTAGTCGTAGTAGTAGTAGTAGTCGTAGTAGTAGTAGTAGTAGTAGTAGTAGTAGTAGTAGTAGTAGTAGTAGTAGTAGTAGTAGTAGTAGTAGTGGTAGTAGTAGTAGTAGTAGTAGTAGTAGTAGTAGTAGTAGTAGTAGTCGTAGTAGTAGTAGTAGTAGTAGTAGTAGTAGTAGTAGTAGTAGTAGTAGTAGTAGTAGTAGTAGTAGTAGTAGTAGTCGTAGTAGTCGTAGTATTCGTAGTAGTCGTAGTAGTCGTAGTAGTAGTAGTAGT